CGGAAAAGCGACGTCTCTAGACTTACTGAATGTTTCCTAAAGAGGGCGCTGATTTATTTTACTTTAATTTGCAACAAATTTATTTTTTACATTCACACGAATTTAAACTAACATTATGAAAGGATTCTATTGAAAAATATGCATTATAGATCCTTGTTTTATAAATTGGCTTAGGACTTTATCAACCAATAATTAAATGCGTATTCGGTTGCAAGTAAGAAAACTCTGCGTTGGATGTGCTTTTCCCTTTTTTTATATGATGCTTCAATACCTGTGGCGTAATTTTAGAGTGAGTTCCAAAAAATTTGCAAAAGAAACCGATATCTAATAAAAGTTTCCTTTGCTACATATTTCCTGAACAAGAGTTGATGCCGCGGTGGCCGCAGGCTCTAGTGCGGGGCACGCAAATACCCAAACACGCACTCGCAAAACATTTCCTGGTTACAAACTGTATATAGAGTCCATCCTTGTTATATTCTGTGGACAATTAATTTAGAGTTCTAGTAATGGCTTGTGGCGTACAGCAAATAAATTTCAATTCATCTCATTTGACAGTTTTCTATAGCCCTTAATAAGTTAAAATTATATATTTAGATTGTAAACAATAAATGAAGTCCAAGTTCGGATATTAGTATTAATTTTATTTCAAAAAAAATCCGGTGTTATTTCGTAGTGGACAAAACAATCTATTACTTGTAGTAATTTTACTAAAATATTGTAGATGTCGCTGCAAAATTCGATGGAACTATTTTGGGCCTCTGTGTTTCACTTATCCTTCAAGTGTTATAATTATGGATTCCCTACATCTTTGTTACCTTCAAGGACGTTGTGAAATATTGGTTGCGAGGTCTGTCATATTTATCATACAATCCCACGCAATGATATTGCCAAGATTGCCGAACTCAAGCAAAATTACTATACTTTAATAGATTGACGAAAATAGTTCAATAGCATAGACTCTATGCCATAGAGTCATAGTGAGTGGTGTAGCTTTAGTAATTTACATTCCTACCTACATTATCCTTCCTTAGCCATGTATATTTTAATAATTTCAAAATTATTAATATGGTATTGTCCTTATTCAGATTTTTCACTTAAGGGTCATAACAAGAGTTGTGTATGGTTTGGTTCGAGTTCTCAGCACACAGCTACTGCAGACATAATTATGTATTTTAAATTTTCTTAGAAGTCATCATGGTTTCCATTTGACCATGCAACTAGTGGTGGAAAAATCCTGACTAATTGTAAACTCCCATACACCTATGTAATATTTGCGTTCCTGAAATGTGTAAAAATCGTTACATTCTAATTATCTTAGTAAATACAGTTTTTTTTTTGTTCAAACACTATTCGAGTTATTGTTATTTCGCATTATTTTTTATTAAAAACCTAATTTAAAACAAGTTAATTATTAGATCATAATTGTAAATTACTTCGACAGTAAAATTATTATTAATTGCATTCAAGTGCATCTTGGAAATCAACTTACGACGAAAACTTTGTTTTCAACATGTAACCTAATAATTAAAAATACAAATAGCAATTTCAAATCACTGAGTTATTTTTACTTTTATTTTAGATTAAAAAGAGTGTCATCTTCGTAATTTTTATCAAAGGCATTTCCTGTCAATTAAATTAATCTATAATTTAGATAATCATATAATTTACGATAATGATAATAACACAAAGAAATATCGCTTTTATCTTAAACGCGGTTTTTCTTTATTAATATATATCATTTAATACGTATTATATCATAACCCACATTTACGTTCAAGCCTATATCTAGATTCATCGATTTCAGATCACAAAAATCAAAACATAATAATCTTTAATGCTTCTAAAACTGTGACGTGATAGCAACAACTTTGTGATTTTAGGAAATACCCATAAAGTGCAACTGCACTACTCAGAACCAAAAAAAAGTGGAGAAAACGTAGTTTATTTACGTCATAAATTGTTCAAGGTCATCTTGTATAAAGTAGAGATCTACTAATAATGTTTTATGATAATATTTTCAAAAAATTATCTTAATTATAACATTATTATATTACTCTTGACCTTAATTGAATCCGTAAAGTATACGTAACTTTTATATTAAAATTTTCTACTAATGTTTGTTTTTGTTTACAGGTACAATGATTAACGCAAAAGGTTTGAATCACATTTTTAATAGCTAAGTATCTTCGTTAACATTACAATATCTAACATTGAAGTCTTATAATAAGTAATTAGATAAATCCATAGTTTAATTCATCTCAATGTAAATTTTTAATCAAAGATCTTAATGCTGATTATATCTTATAAGAAATTATTATATTATCCATGTTTATTATTTTTACTCTACTCTTTTCTAATTTCGTAAACGTCAAAGTTTTAATATCCATATCTTTAGTATAGGTTTTTTAACGTAGTATTATAGCGTACCACAGTAAAGAAATGTGTACGTTTATAGTTCATAGTAGGTGGGCACAAAGCGGCTAATATACGAGTACCTCTCTGGTGGAACTGCCCGGCGGGGTTGCGCGCGCATCATTTTCAGGGCGCAGGATCCACCCTCGTCAAGTACTATGAACGTACAGACAAACATTTCAAGAATTTTATAAATTATTTTTGAATGGTATATTTTATCTCATATCTACGTAATAATATTTACCTAGCGATGAAAATAACGAAGATGTAGCTGTCATGTAAATAAAATTTCGTCGTTTATATGTGATTTTTATAATAAAAAAATGTGAAATACTTTCACTTTCCATTACAAATATTATAAACACTTCACTATTTCAGTTCTATATTAAAATAGGGATACATTACACAATGGGTTTTTTTTCAATTGAAGTATGTTAGAGGATGTCGTGTCTGGTCGATTAGGTACTCTTCACGTAGTTGAAGCGCCGATAGAGGTAGCGACGTCAGGGCACATCGGTTCCGCCGGCGCTAGAGGCAGCGGGTGACCAGCCCTTGTTCCGAATATATCATATTGCAATTTCAAAGCTATATTTATATCGATCAAGTGTCTCACGCAGCTCTTCAGGTAAGTGGACATAATAGTACAATAAGCACTGCAACGCTTTTCCACTCGGAATATTCTAGTAGTTACGTTTGATAGCCATTACGTAGCCGGCAAATATATCAATTATAAAACAATTACGTTTCAAAAATCGATCGTATAAATGCTTATCATCATTATAATCAGTATAGATATCATTTTCATGCATTGTTTTAATGTAACTTACCTGTTTGTATTGACCGACTCCATTTTTCACGTTGCTTCAGATTGATTTGTGAATCTTGTGTGTACTTATTTGTCGTAATATGAATCACCTAGTTTATTTATCGATTAATGTTATACTAATCTGAAATGTCGAGGACCTGTTTGACCACGATGGCCCTAATCTAGGTGGATATTAAAGGATTAGTGTTGGTGTAGACTACACATTAGTTTAGGGCTGACGTAAATGTAAAATAAGATACGGTTGTGAAATTCTATAATCTTTTATCTATTGAGCATCTGCAACTTTTATTTGTAGATATGATACGTTTGCCTACATTCGATATTTTTACGTAATTTGAATGTAATCTCATTATTAGTAAACAATATTGGAAACTAGTACTATGTAAACTATGGCTAGTGACAACGGTACGGTTGTTTATGAAAATAATTCAGAGAGAAATAAATTTTGTCACCGGCCAGCTAAAACATTGAGCTTCATTCGAGAAAAGTCATTGTACCTAATTACCGCTACGTTATATTTGGATGTGAGTCAAACTGGGCCGCCCATTGCGCCAATTGAAGCTCAGGACAGTTCCGCCCCCGTTCAAAGACATATTACTGTCATCATGAATTTTTATTTATATTTTAACCAAAAAAAATTGTAACTTTTATATGTGGTTGAGTTAAATTTAAATTCAATCACAATCCTTTTAAAGTTATATATTTTATCAAAACTGTTCACATGCCAATATTCTGTTTCATTTCTGTTTATATGATACTTATTATATTAAATCATCTATTTAATGTTTTCGGTACCACCAAATAGAGTTTAGGACCATATATTTCGATTTCAAATATCAACACAAAACATTACCTTAAGTCAACTTCAGTTGAGATGTTATTACGATTATTATTTAAATAAATTGATGGAATATCCATCCATCATTTATGTTTTTTTTCACGTTTGACAAACAGATTTATTAATTTTAAATGTGACTTACATTAAAGTAATGGCAGTATAATTAAATTGCCATGCTTGTCTTGAACCCGACAACCGGCTAAATAAACACAAATTTAATAATAGTAATTACTCCGACTATTTTGATTCCGTTGTTATTGTGAGTCACAAAGTTGATTTGTTATTCAAAAATAGATGCCAACCAAAAACTAAAGGAAAACTATAAGGATATAAAATAGTTTAGTTTTTTAAATACTCTAGATTTCAAATAGCTCATTATTTAAAAAAAAAATATTAAAGAAAGCCTTCACATGTTTAAAAAAATATTCAATTAAAAAAAACAATTTCTCCTTTTTTTATTTATTTCCATGTGGGATGGGATATATGTAACTTTTAAATAATTATAGCTATGGTAATACAAACAATCTGAATTTAGATAGTTAATAAACTCGTTAATTTTGTTTTCATCATAAGCAAATATTATTAGTGCTCCACATAAGTATAAATACATACTCATCTATTTAATGCTTCCTAACCTACGTCAGACTTGTTTTCTATTGACGCAATCGGACATAAATTTTTTAATAGAAGATATTTAGCGGCATGTCTTATAACTCTTATGTGAACACAGATAAAAAACTTACAGGTTTAATACTTAGTGTCAACAGTAATGGAATTTGTTTGTTTACAACCACATTTACCAACATTGTTCATTTGCCTTTTACCTTGTTGTATGTTGTTTCTTCTTTAAAATCTTCCTAATCGGTTATCGTTTTTTAGTCTGTTTTAATGTCTAATAATATAGGTTTATGATTAAAAAAAACATTATTTAAATATTGTTTATTGTATAAGTATTTTTAATCCTTTCTGTTTGCAATACTTAAGAAATAAAACGTTTTGCAAACATGACTTACTACAACTTTAAAATATCACATCATCTACATTAATTTTAATAATTATTTACACGAGTAACTGTTAGCTACAGAATAAAATAGTACTATAGTCTACAAACTTTTTCAAAACCTTATTTATTAACATAAATTTATTCATAAATAACAACTGCTTGGACCTGTACAGTCAACCGTCTTCCTGGTATTCCACTAATCTTGTCGTTTCACATATGACGTTCAACGTATTTTCTTTCTATAAAGTATTTTTATACGATTGTCCGTGTTCCGACAAGATGGCACATTGCCATAAGAAAGTTATTTCAACATCTTTCTATTAGGCCGGATCATGATTTATCCTATTCTTTGTTGGAAGAAGTTTCCAGTCTGCTTCGTTTGAGGTGGTGGGGTTGCTGGTATTTCATGCTGAGGTTTCAGTAGCCAGGGGTTTTCTGTTGCCTGTGGACTTCCATCTTTCTTCTGACCGGCGTCAGATGGCGTCAGTTGGAAATGAGGCAGCTGCGTCTTGGGGCACACAGGCGGTCTTTCGGACATCGGCTGCATGGTTCCTGAATAAATAAATGCACATTTGAATTCACGATTGGGTAGTTTGCGTCAAATCTAAGTTATTCGCATATACAAAGTACACAAGATCCACGTAGTACGACCCTTTAATTTAAATAGTTTAAAGTGTTAATAAACATGTTTGTTTATACGTTCAAAGGTATAATATTATTTTCATATATTTATTCAATTGTTTTTGGGGAGATTTGTCTATTGGGTACATTTCGGTGTAATCGATCAGTTATTAATTTCCTATTAATTAGTTATCATAAATAGGAATTCCTATTAATTAGTTTATGATTTTTTATTATCGATGTACCGATAGTGGATGAGATCGATAACTTCCTCGTATCCGAATTTATGCAATATACACAAATATTTTTAGCACTAATTTACACGAAAAAACTAATTATGATTAATAGGATACAGATTAAATAGACATCCGGAATCTAAAACTGATATTTTAACCAAATTATCTAGATAAGAGCATTTATCGTGTAAATAAAAAAATATTGTGCAAATGACAAAATTGTGGGATACATTGATATATGTAGAAGCCATCGAGATATGCTCCAGTGAATACTGATTGATGCCCCACTCTCGGAATATGTGCGCAGTGTTGACAAGGACGAATCAATTACTTTGATTTATGTTAGTTATTCACGATAAACTTACTATTTTATATAGCTTACTCATGTTTTCTACTAATACATACTTTTAATCTCCTCTTAGTTTCTCGTCATCATCATCATCCTCAGTAGTTTACTCGTCAAATTTTAAAAATGCAGTATGATACAATTGTGTTAATATTTACTGGAAAGTGATGATTTCATTCAATATCAAAAATATGACCTATCCTGCTCAAAACTCGCTATATATTTTGTGTTGCTATTACTATGGGATTCAAAAGTCAGTTTTATATAAAACAAATTGATATTTTAGATTTTTCGGAGGTTTAATATTTTAGTATAAAAGTTTTCACCATGGAAACCCACATTTTGTACTAATTTTGAAATAATCACTAGTGTACTTTAGTTGTATTGCTATTTTATGGGCAAAGAGACTAACAACCACACTAGATATTTGACTGAAACATGCAAAATTGACGTTGACACGAAACAGACGTATAAATATAAAACGATACTATAATATAGTTCCGTATCAAACTATTATTTAAGTATGTAAATAGGATGAAAGATGTCAAATTCCATCGCTTTTAATTCCATTATTATGAAAATTTCACTACTACTTAAATTTATTTTAACAATTTTAGTATGTTTACATTTTTGTTTCGAATAAGCAATATCACTGGGATTTTATTTACCTACCATATATGATAAATCGTAATTGAAATTATTTTAATAGATTTAATAACCAAAAACAATCGAATATTAAATTAATTAATTAGTACGGGGAGTTGTTATAAAGTATAACACTTACTTTGATAATCCAAATTAAGGTTTTCCAAACGTGAACTGATAGCCTGAACACCGTTTACAAACATTTGATAATTAAACTTTTCACTTAGTTGTGCGCACGAGCAACGCGTTTCACGAACGATCGCGTATTGTGTCACTTCCAGTCTACAGATACGCTTTATACCCGCTGAATCACATTTGGCAAGAGCGTTGTCGACGTCACGTCAGGGCAGCGCTGACGCGGTGTTGAGCGTTGACGCCAGTGCGTAACGCTACACGGTCCATAGGCTACTTACGTCTACGTAAAAACCTAACCGACTTTCTTAACGATAAAACGATCTATTAAAAAAATGCTGTCAGCATTCTTTATTTCCTTTTTCAAATACACACGAAGTAATATTTTTTTAAACCAGTATGTTCGTGTTTAAAATGTAATTCTTAATTACACTTTAACTGTCCGAAACGAATGTTTGACATTGAAGTTAAATAAAAATTAAAAATAACTTGTAACTGTGTTACATGGAGGTGTTTTTAAGTTCTTTGTTTCAGTTTATTGTTAAATCAATTATGTTCGTTGTCCTAACAAGAAACAATTTAATATCACGTGAGTATGACATTGACGTCATATAATCATGATAATTATTGTGGCGGACGTGGTCTCCGAAGGGTCGTCAAATGATCTTAGTCATTGTTGGAAATGTTTCGTCCCAATTGAAGGAGACATTAAGTGATGTCAGACGATAATCAAACGATAATTCTGCCACCTTATCACTTTATCCAACTTGAACCATTACGATTACGACAAAGCACTTAACTAATGTGAGCAATCGTTTTAGCTTTTATTTCCTACTTGTCACCATAAACGATCGTTTGGCCTTGAGTCCAATGCGTAAACAGGTGCTAAAAGCCTTCCTTGAGTCAACTATTTTAAGGTATCATAGGGCGGGTGTGTCACAAAGATTTGTCACCTTTACAAGCCTTAAAAGTATTCTTTCGTTGGCCTGGTTTTTGATGTTTTTATTTTATTTCAACAACTTGTGTTAAGTTCGTTTTCAAGACTGATGGCATACGAAAATATGAACATCATACTCTCAAACAACTTATTTTTTCCCTTGTAACTTTTTGACCAAATAATGCGTACAGATTTTTTTCAGTTTGCTAAAACAGTACCTAATGTTAGTACCTAATGAGACAGTGTATTGACTCAACTAGCTTTACTAAAATTTCTACGTTTATGTCCCCTCACTATTTATTCCGACACTGGACTTTGTAACGAAAGCACGACATTTGCGCCAAAGGATTATAATTAATAATTTCTACAATTAATAAGTATTCTGTTGATCCATAATAAGTTTTAGCAACGACGTTTGTTAGTTATCGTTTTATCTCTGTTCCATGTAATATTAGATATTATTATTTTCTACTTAGCAACACAGTATTTGATTTTTTAATTAATGCCTCATCGATAGTAGTACGAATTGATACGAATACGAGTTTTGATAGTGATTTTATTGATGATAAGTTTAGGTCTAAAGTAATAATCATTTACATCTTATTATAAATTACGTTGTTTAATTAAAAATATTAATCGCGCGATCTTAATGCTATCTATTATATCTATGATCTAGTCCATACCGGTGGCAAACTAGTCAATTCCAGACGCAATTGATAATAATTGCAACCGACGTATTTCAGGCAAAATGGTCGCCACTTGAATAACAATACCCATTATTAATAGTAACCACCAAAATCATGTGTCAATTTGAATTTCAGTCTATTCATCTATAGATAATAAAATCACCACTAAGCCAAGAAATACGATTTGCTTATTTACAACTTGACTCAATCCTATGCCACCTAGGTGGACCTCTCAAGCCACTTCCTAGTCCAAAATCATGGGTTCCTAAGATGGGTCCAACTTCAACCCCTCCACTAATAAAAAGCGTGGACCAACATATATAACAGTTAATGTTGAAACAATAAGAAATTCAGTGAATCATCATTGAACCATTTTAAATAAAAGCATTGTCTTGTTTTTATTGGATGACGGCTGTCTCGCTGTACTGACGCAGTCACTGTTTTCGTATTCAGATTTAAAACGACAGCTGCTGTTTGTCTGAGTCGCTGTTTAAGAAATTATAGAATGTATTTGTTTATAATTCTAGCTTAATAAATACGATTCGTCACATTTTAACATCACTCAGGACATTTTCTAGATCCGATTTCAATGTGCATAGAAATATTAGGCTCTAAACACTTTTTTTAACGTTATGTAGATCCATTGTCATCCATGTGCAAATTAAACAATTTAATAATATCTGCAAACTTTTATTGCATGCATTTCGATAAGGTTATTAATTAAAACTACGCTTATCGATACGCAATAGGAATATTTTAATAACGGTCTGAAATCGATAAGACTTTGCTTCCTTAATATTTTTTTAATAAAAAATTGGAAAGAAAAACTTTTATAATGATGGATCCCAGTTTTAACATATACATAAAATGTTTACAATTTTACCAAGAATATTTTTTTCTTCATTTTCGTTAAATTCGCGAAAACCGTGACTCAAGTAAAACACGACGTATAGAAGTTACGAGCCCGGGACAAGCCCCGTTGCGTGTAGGCTATATTCGCTTGCCATCGCGTCTTTCACGAAACGGCCAACAAACGTTTCACAAAAAGTATTCCGAATTCAAATAAATATCAATCATTTTTGTTTATTTCTTTTTGTCACTTGCCAATATCAAAGGAGGTTAATATACTTTTTCGTCATTGATTTAATACATTTAATAGTATGAACATTTATTATTGCTATATTAGTCATTATTAATCGGTTGGATCGCCTCCAAAATACTAAATCGAATACAGATTTGCAACGTAAATAAAGTTAATAGTGGTTATTACACGCACACATTTAATTCTGTATATTTCGGAGTAAGCTATGGTAAATACTTCTTTGTTATGTTATTGCCAATTTCTTAATTCAAGTAATTATTTATCATCGAGTTGACGAATGACGTAACTTGCATTGTAACTTACAGTTTGTTCTGTCTTTTATTTGTTGTAATTGATAAAGAATGAAATGGAAAACTACCAATGAATGCAAATATTACCAATAATGTACGTAAGGAACGTTTATTCTTTGAATTACAATTTTCTGCGTTTTGTATTCGTAAAAGATTTTACTTTCAAATTTACACGAAATATATTAAGTTGTGTCTAATATGCGCAATTTAACAGATATATTTCGAATAACATTTTATTTATTATAAGTAGACTATGTACGTGGAATATATTTTTTTTATATTCAGTTTACACAAAAAATGTATGAAATACTTGTGATAAAACTTATCAATGATAAAACATTTTTTCTTGACCTAAATCTATGGTATTTTATATGTCATTGGAAATCGTACATACAGATTTAGTAAGTACACCTATTCTACTAAAAGTTGTTAAGTGCAAAGAATATTTGAGTTCACATAATTGCAATGGTTTTATTACTGTTTGGCTTTTTATTTAGGCGATAAGACGTTACGCTTACAAGATCAATGACTTCTCCGTAACATTTTTAATCCAGTTTTTTGAACCGAAATCCTTTACGTCATTCGCATTTTTTTCTTGGAATAAAAACAAGAATAAGTACATCGTGACAGCGCATGAAAGTTAAATGCGTTGTGCAATGACGTATATTTAAAGTTAGTTTTTAGTTGTATGGGCTAGATTTTCCGTAACAAGCGGGGATGCGTGTGACTATGATATGAACTGACTGCAGCGAGCATAACTCTTTGAAGATACCCAACAATCCTTTGTTGTTATCTATAATTTCCGAGATTGATTTCGACGAGATATTTGACCCTGTAATGTAGTGCTTATGATATTCATCATCAGCTCACTATACGTCCCCACTGAGGGGCTCGGAGCCTACCCTTAGTTAGGGGTGACTAAGCCTTAGTCAACCACGCTGGCGTAGTTCGATTTGGTTGGCTTCATCTTTTGGAATTTCTTCGCAGATATGTGCAGGTTCCATCACGATGTTTTCCTTCACTATAATATGTTAACTAAAATTTAATTTACGTTCAATACATTTGATAAAGGTGAAAAAATAAGCGATAATTCCTACAACATATGATTTTTTACTCAGTAAAGTATTGTTTTAAACAGCAAACAATGTTTAAAAGCGGACATAATGTTAACAACGGTATTACCCTCCTAAAAGAGTTACGTAGTATTACTAATCTTGGGTTTTTCCCAATACAATTCATTTTAATATTTCCTTAATATTTCAAAGAGTCGATAAAAGATAATAATATAAACAAAAGTACAAAGATAACTAAAAAGTCGTAGATAATATTTATTTCTTAATAGCTTAATTATTTTAAAAATCAATTTTTGATGAATTATCACGGATAGATTGATGAATTGATAATATAGAAAATATTGTTACTTCTTCATATGACGGATAAAAGACGTAGTATTAATTTCAAGTTAGAAAAATTAAGTAATATTTTAAACAATGTACGTTTCATTAGCTTTTTTCCCTATTAAATGTTTTTTGTCCCTGAGGAAAAATAAAACTAGACGATACTGTACTGTAGATTGTATCTTAATAGCTTTAAATTTTTAAGAGTGTTTAACCTTTCTATCTTTTCTTAAGAATTTTTAAAACGCGTTATATTTAAATTTTGTGAAAAATCATAGCAAAGCCTCAATAAAAATCCCCGATACTATAAATTGTTGTAACGTCAACTTGCGTCATTAAAATTTCAATCCTATGGTTTTGTTATATGTTTTTTACTAATATAGATAAAAATCACTATTATTTAATCATTATTCATTGCTAAATCAATATTATACCATCACATAAGATGCATAAATAAATGTAGTTTTGGTATCACTGCTTTTTGTACAATAATTTATTATGTAAAATATTTGATTTCATAAAAATAAGTCATCTTTCCTGGCCTTATACCACACATATGGGGTCGAGGCAAAAGGTTTTTGTAAACCTTAAGATTTTGGCTTAATATTCACAGCCGGCCTGACGTTAACGCTACTTAGGAAGTCATAAACATATGTGATTATTTGTAGCAAATAATTTGTTGCAATGTTATGGAATAAAATCGTTCTACCCACAACTAACCACGTTTTTTTTGAAGCAATGTAGTTTGAGACACTTCGTACACGGCAATCTTACGTTATACGCATTCGAAACGCACGTGAGCACAATTTTGTGGCAAAGTTTAATAACAGGCCTTGGGAGCTAATAAAATATTTATTGTTCTTATAGTAGTGGAGATATCGCAAACTGGCGACAGTTCGGCGCCTCTACGAAGATTATGTTATAGGCATATAACTGATTGAAGATTACGTATTACTTTTTGGGTAGTTGAAAAAACTATGGAGCAAGTGACAAGTAACAACGTGAGCCGGGTAAGCCTCGTGTCACACGAGAGCACTGATGTAGAGCACTTGCACTCAATGTTAGTCTTAAATCGATAAATATTGTAATGGATACTCAAATATGATGCAATGCTAGAATGAAATCTTTAGCATTAATGCGATTATTATAAATTACTAATTGGTATTTGATTGTGTCACTTTTAAAACGATAAACGAGAATAAATTGCACATAAAAAGCGTTATTATTGTGCACCTCCTATGTGTTTTTATGTGAAATATAAAATAACATTCTTATTGTAATCCGGTAGAGAATAAAAGCTAGAACTTATTAGCTAATTTTAAAATTAAGCTATAAGTAGATATAAAAATGTTTCAAACATTTGAACAATTCTATTAATGCATTATCCACTTGGTCTATTTGGCATTAAAAAAATAATAACGATACTTATCTAGTACATAAATAAATCAGAAAAACTATTTATAAATTTAGGGCGTAGTTAGCTTTGTATGGTTACTCATTTGCGTCATTTTACGATGTAAAGTGCGTGTTATCACTATTCGTGACTTACTTTGACTTTAACTTAAGTGTAAATATTCTATGGTGACCGCACAGCAGGTTTTATATTACAATTTGCTATTGCAACTCTAGCAAAGGTTAAACTTTTGGAGTGTGTAAATTATAAATAATTATGTTACAAACATCTATTGTTTAACTGCGACGTTAATACGAAAAAAAAACACATAGAAATCTATTTTTAACTTTGAAATACAAATATTTTTAGAAAAAAACAGTTCTCTACAAAATTCGTAGTAAATTTTCCAGTAATGAAATAATTTGAGGCTCTCACAACCCTAATGCGAATTAATTGAAATACAGACTCATCGCGATAAGCCGTAGTAATAGCACCGCTGAAATTACTCAAGAAAACTTTTGCCAAAACATCACGTAACCGATCCCGAAGAAGTTTCTTCAACTCGTGCTTTATTGTAGACGTTTTTCTTTTGTTTTCGTTTTATCGACGGATCATTTGCCTCGTAAAATTTTAATGTTATTTAAGACTGCATGGCTGCAATGCTGTTGTACAAAGGTTGGTATGGAAAATACAATATACTAAATGCAAATTCGTTAGTACATCGTTTTCTATGGATATGCAAAATTGATCACGCGAGGACCTTTGTATCGCAAACGGCGCGGTGCCACAGCCATCAAAGTATCGATTGCTGGCCTTTCATGTATTCCAAAGATAACTGATCGTGCACGTATTGAAAGTGTATAGTGACGATCGATATTTTCAATGTAAACTATTTTCCTTTTGTTTCTAAGCAGTGATTTATTATCTAGAAACAGCTAACCTTCGATTTAACGACGTCCGAACATAGCATTTTGTATTTTAAACATTTTAAGACGTTTGAACGTTCCTTTTTCAAAATAAAGCTTCATAAATCTACTGCAATCAAAATAATACAAAGGTTACGACCAAACAGTATTATTCCATCTAAACGTTTAAAAATACACAGCAACCCTAAAGACAGAATAAGGCGTGACTTAAACTCAATTTAGCAAAGTTGTATCACTTCATGCCGTTTATGGTTGTCATTAATTTTATATACGCACAACACTGTTCATTAATACCTTTATAAGGAAATCTACGTAATAGAGATACTACTGATTCTTTATACTTTAGTGTACTAAGAAATGGAAAGGGTTGTTTTAATTGCCAAACACCATATTGCAGTTAAGTGTATATAAAGTTAATTTAAACTTCGTATGACTTAAAAAAAATTATGGGTTTCTTTGCTACAACAATTCTAAGTAGAAAATTTAACTATTTTTATTTACAAAATGTACAAATTCCAACAGTGAAATATACTTTATTTTACTGCATCCCTTAAATTTACTTTAATTATTCTCAAATAGTGACCTACTGGCCGCGTTCGTGTCAACTTACATCTGTGAGGCCGTTGCTCTTTTAACTTAATTTGTACAGGTTAAATGCAATTGAATAAAAAACAAACATGCTGCTATGAAAACATGTTACGAATATTATTTTTGAATTATCAATTTTTTTAAAGAGAAAGTATTAAAATTATAATTTATTTATAAAGGCTCCTGGAGACATTCGACCTCCAAGTAGTGGCCCTAACGGTCAAGAGTCAACGTTCCCGACGCAAGCGCCCGTCCGCCCGCCGCTCACCAGAGTTGATTCCCGTTCGGCGCTTATACCACCAGCTAGACCTGGAGCACCTCAACAGTTCCAGCAGCGGCCGCTGTTCCAACCAGGTGGACCAGTAACGAATTCACCTCAGTTTGCGCCTCGTTCGGGGACTCCAATTACTCGAGGGCCAACTCCGTCCGCTACGCCAGGGTCTCCGCAAATTCGAGCGCAGGCACCACAAGCACGTCCTTCAGGACCTCAGTCGATTCAAGGTCAAAGACCCCAGCAGTCTCCTACGACTGCTCAGCCTCCACCGGTTCAAAGAGCTCCTGCACCGAACAACCTTCAGTTCGGTCCAAGGCAGCCGCCGCAATTTGGGGGCGCTACTACTCCTGACGGTTCCAAAGCTCAGGCACCGCCTCAATTTAACGGAACATTAAAGAGCGGCGCTCTAGCACCGTCTCAATTAACAGGACAACTACCTAGACAACCGTCACAAGGCTCTTTAAAAGGCCTTGATTTATCCAATACAAATCAAAGTAAAACAGCAAACCTGGAAGCCCAAAATTCGAACAATGACAACCAAAATGCTAATAAGTCCGAGATTAACTCGGAAGCACCGGCAATGGCTAAAGGCAGGAGTTACAGTATCGCCGCCGCTCCCGGCACGCCAAGCCCACTAAAGATGGATGAAGACCGACGAAAATCCATAAGTGCTGTAGGGAGTAAGATGGAAGAGTTTACAAGTCGTAGCCCAGGTCTTGGATTAATTCAAGAATCCAAAGACAGTAGAGACAACATACGTGGTTCTAAAGATAGTGTAAGGTCGATGGCTTCGAATGATGGCAGTAAGGACAATGTTGACCGTCCAGAGTCACGCATAACAGGCTCTAGAATGACCGAATCTATAATGGGATCTTTGACCAACTTAGCACCCAAAAAGAAAATAGACGATGACGATGACGTCGTACTGCAAAATAATGTGCAGACATTGAAGAACGACGTTACTTCAAATCAGAATAAAGTAGATATGTCGGATCGTTCACCGTCTCTGACTAGAAGTGATGATTCACCGGAACCTAAAAACGCTTCGCAAAGTTCAGTCATAACGAACAAGTCACAGAGTGCTACACCAGAACCTCAAAGACCTAAGACACCCAAAGATTTAAAACCGGAACCAAAAGTTGATGCATCACGAAATGTGAAACCTTCTATTACACCAGTTAAAACTCCCTCAAAATCACCTGTTCAAGAAATGAAAACTATGCCAATAAATAAAAAACCAACTGAATTAATTACTCCCACTGATTCCAAAAGATCTACTCCCAGAAAAGTTGTTTCAGCGCCTAAATCACGCCCTAAAGGTAATCAGGGAATAAGAAATTAAGAGAGATTACATTATTTTATTGAGATGAATTAAACTATTTACAATATTATTATAGTTACTTATGTACCGATTAACTAGCTAATTTCTTTATATCATATTCACAGATGGCGATAATGACAGTGGTGTCGACGAGTCGACTCAAGGAAATGTAAGGTTTATCTGAAATAAGATGTTATTTAAATATTTGCATTCGTAATTTGATTTTAAATTATGATTATATTTTCATAGGATATGAACGGATCGCCTGGGTCGCCAAATAAGAAGTTGCCGAGCAAGGTCCCTACTAAGGAAAAGTCGAGTAACAGCTTGAAGACCAGCCTATCGCGATCTTCCAGCAAGAGCGCAACAGCTAAGACACCAGAAAATCCTCCACCGTCTGAAAAGAAGAGTAAGAATTAAGACAATACTTTTAGAACGCGCTTCTCATCAATTAAGACTAGACTTTAACTTGTTTTGTCAAAAAAACTTCTTACTTTCAGAAGTACCAATGAACAAGATTCAAGTGGGAAACGCGCCGTCTCCTAATATAAAGGCTGTTAAGTCCAAGATCGGGTCATTGGATAACGCTACATATAAACCCGGCGGTGGAAAGGTTAAAATAGAGAACAGAAAACTGGAATTCAACGCTACGCCGAAAATTGCTGCGAAAAATGATGCGTACACGCCAAGCGGTGGAACTAAAAAGGTAACAAATAGATCGTAGAAAATATGACTTAGTAAAATTATACCGTAACAAAAAATTATTGGTATGCCCGTCTACACAAAAATGTGAACCGAATTTTAAAGAGACTATTTTATGTGTAATATAGAATTAGAAACACAAATCATAGTTTATAAAAAGTAACCAAAAATGCTCAGTGAATATTTGTCATTACAAATCTGTGATTGAAAAAGGTAGAATGTCGAAATATTTGCTGCAAAAAATACAAACATCTAGACCCAAAATATTTCGTAGTAATGTTGGCACACGGCGAACATATGTTATGGATTTTTTCTTTTTTGTGGCTACTATGAAAAATTTTTGTAACTAGCGTGGTAATGTATTTTTACTTTTTCTAGATAATAACTACGAAATTGGAATGGAACGCGAAGTCCAAAATAGGATCACTGCAGAACACTGCTTACAAGCCAGGAGGTGGTGACAAGAAGATTGAAACTGTTAAGTTGGATTTTAAGGATAAAGCGAAGCCGAAAGTTGGATCCACAGCTAACATAACTCATAAGCCCGGCGGTGGAACAGTAAAGGTAAGCTAAGAAACAAACACTGAGTCTTTACAAGAATACTAGAAACTACGTCTAATACTTTACTAGGAGGTTGATAACATTTTATTGTAAGTATAAATCATTACTGTTAATATTAATGGTAAAGTGCACGATAGTTGCACTTCAGTATTCAGGTTCATCATTACATTAGTCACTGGCGGTAAAATTCATATCTTATTTGTACCTACATAAAGTTTAGTTTCATAAAAACAATTGGCACAATTATCTACATAATGTAGAATCATATAATATAAAAATTCAAACATAAATTTTGTTTCATAGTCAACAGATGCAAAGAACGGAGAAAAATCAGTGAGTAATTCCTAATTAATGTCCGCTTTTTGTGACTTTATGCTCAGAACATGTTCCTCCGATTAATGCACATTGTCAAGAAATTTAAATGTAATAGAGAGCGATGTGTTTTAGTTTGTAAAGTGGGGGTTACCAAGGTGGAGAGCGTCACATAAGTCCTTTGCTTTGCATACTCTACGCGGTAAGGTCTGTTATCTTGGTCACTTAAGGAGTTATTGGATGGCAGAAGATTTTGACGTCATTAGGACAGATGTGTCGCAACTATACACGCTGTGTCTGTTACATCGCTTTAGGAATGAAATGACGGCGATTGTTTTCTAGGGAATGTCGGAATGAATAGATAATATGATTTGGAATATGGAAATGACAAAATTGGTTGCGTTTTGCATAGTTTACTCTGTTCTTATTTTATATTTCACTCGGTAAACATAAGACTATTGAACCACGTATTAGAAGATGATTTGATCGATGGATTATCACATGCACTTCACTGAATTAAAATATTCTGTGCCGCAAAAATATTATCTATATAAGCTTGTTATACAAAGAAACATATTACAAATAGCACTTAGGCATATTATTGCATTGCGTCTGCAATTGCAAATTGCTTTAAATTCGACTCAACGCTAAACAATGCTTGAATACGTACATCTAAATAATGTATTTTATTGAATTGGATTGTTAAGACTTTTATGAAGAAGATTTTTTTTAAATCAAATAATTCACTCTTATGTTGGTATATGGTTATATATGCCGTAAGAATTTACCTTAGTATTTCAAAAACATCTTAAAACCAAGATAGTCTTAACAGTCCTGGTCTATATTTTAGTATTTATATAAATATATATTATGTATTTTGCACTTATGCTATGTATATGTATTTGTATTGCACATAATACTGCACAGTCACTTTTTCGGACAGATTGAGAATCAAAAATTGGATTTCAAAGTGGAAAGCAAGGTTGGCTCGCTCGACAACGTAAAGCATAAGCCAGGCGGAGGTGATGTTAAGATATTTGACGACAAAGACTACATCAAGCAGGTGGTCGGCCAGTCGCCGCTGCCCCCCAGCCATGGCCAGTCGCGGCAGGAGGTGAGGCCAGCTATAAGTGGCCACTTTAACTCTACTCCTTTTGTTTTTGCTTCGTCTCCTTGTTTCGGTGAAGGTTTCATTTCAAATCCATTGTGCATTATGACTTCACATTTTTTTGTTTCAGCCAGAGTATTTGTATACGTTTTATTAGTTTTTAAAACGACGAATATTTCAGGTGACTTCGATTGCATTTGATATTGACTAACAAATTCATCAGGCGTTTCATTTCTGAATTGGTTTTGTTTTGTTTTCATTTGCTGGTTTTTTTTTAACTTTTGTGTTTGTTTTGGTTGTTTATAATTGTTCTATATTTGAATTTAATTGACAATCCACATTGATGTAATATTTATTCTGTCGTAGAGTCCGGTTCCACCGTCAGCACCTCCGAAATCCGATGAGAATTTGAATCAACAGCCGTGTTAAGCCGACCCATCCAATATCAACACTAACGTTATATATTAAAATTAATTTGTCCATTAATTTTATCATAATATTACTTTTGACAAGTCTTTGATTAATATTTTCAGGATTTAAAGGACATTATGAATATTTAAGAATTTAAGTCATTAAAGTAGTTTCCTTTGATCAAAGTTTAGTATCTTAGCAAAACTATTAGCAGAACAACTTTGCCTTTACCTTTTTTTTGTTTTACATAGTATCAGTTGTGCCAATACGATTAGGACATACAACATAAAATAATCATATGTATTAAATTTAAAAACGACCGTTTATCCACGATTAGATATAGTTGAATAGTAATTTATAAGTATTTAAAATCCGCTACATATTCAGTTTTAACTGTACAGTCCGACTGCACAATTAAAACTGAAGGTATGTACCATGTTTCAATTGTTGCCGCGTAACCATTATAATTATAACGCTGATGTGTTGAGAATCTTCAAGGTACAAATTTCTTTGCTATCTCATAATGGTTACGAGGCAATACCACGTATATATTATGCACATACATAGATCACATTGTCACACTGTCAGTCCTCACTGCGTATTGTTGAATTAGCAAGCAGTGTTTTACCAGGCGTATAAATGCGGTAGCCATTGAAGCTTCGTTATAAATGTATTTTGTTCTTTAATGTATTATGTAGACTGCACGAACAACGTTTAGGATGGAAATGGAGTGATGTTTGTATTGGCCAGTGTTCTCGACCCAGCATATATTTGAAGTGGAACAATATATAGCATTTTTTAAACTGATAACAACTTTTATAATCAATTAGCTTTTGCACGTTTAATTTCGCTGTGTCGGGGGCGACGTCGGCTCAGATTGGACTGACCAGTTTATTAGATTGATAAATGTTTTATATTTAAATAATTTTAAGATGGATTTAGATTTAGGAATAATTAAAACGTTAATGCTTCTTGTTCACAATATTATTTGCGATTGTCAACATTATTGTGAAGTAGTGATGCGTTCGTTGCAATTAAAGATAAAAAATGATTAATATTAAGTGAATTTGTTATGACACGTTCTTTTGTTTCTAATAACAGCAATATTAATTTTTTGTACGACAATGAAATTGATAACTTTTTTTGTTGTTTTATATGATATTATTACAGGACGCTTTGCTATACTTTTAAATGGAGTTCATCGTAATGTGAACGTAAGCTGTAATGGTATACTTTAATATTTAATACAATGTAATGTAATAATTATTGTTTCATTTACACTAAAATGTTTCACCCTTGAATAAATGTATACAAGTAGTTATGCTGTAGCCACACATTGCACGCACCTGCGTAGTCGATGGAAAAACATTGCAAATTGGTGAGTTTTATCATATTAAATTTTTTTTTTTTTAACTTTATTATTTGACACCATTTGAAAAATTTCAGAAAGCGGCGGTTGCTGAACTGCTATTAAAATTGCCGCTCTTTATATGGACCGCATTTGAAACCATTGTAGATACTATACGAATGAAACTGGATTCGAAATTTTTTAAGTGTCCGGTCCGGGAGTCTACATTGCATTTACATTTACATCTGCGTCACGACTCGTAGATTATTATTATTGTTTTTTTTTCTGAATTTAACCATTGATATTGCGTACAGGAGGAGTACATATCGCTGAGTGAATGGTCAGAGGAGCGGCCATTATCCCGTAGTCGGTCAGCTCGTGCACCGCGCACCCCCCGCACGCCCCGTGCGCTCTCCCCGCGCAAGCCCGCGCCCGGTGAACGCGCGCTTCGCTACGGCTACGAGCGCGAGAGACGCGCGTCAACCCGCCCCGCAACCGCACGTGATCCCCCGCGCTCCTCGTGCTCCAGACGAAACTCACTCACACCGCGTCCTGCTTTCTCTGTGTATTAATTAAAAAATTGTTAATGATGTCTTCGTACAATACTATTCAAACTTTAAGGCGGCTTGTAGTTAGGTGGGAGTCTTCGCATGTAGTGCTCACATACCTAAAATTATACTGTGCGCTGCGACTCTTACAAGAATGCGTGCCGCCATAATATTTGGATAGCACTATACTCATTGTAATGGATTCGAGCATTGTTTGTTATTCTTTTTATTCAATTCATATTTTGTTTATATTTCATTTAAGCATATGAAAAATAAATTAATAGATGCCGATTTTAGGAAAATACGGGATTAATTGTAGATTTTATCAAATACTATTGCATATAGTTTAATTATAAAGATAAAATTATAATAGGATTCACTTAAGTGTTGTTAATAACTAAATGCACATTGCTAAACTTTCCTTTTAAATAATCACTTGTAGAAAAGTAGTGTAATTTACGAAATAATAAAAATACTAGGATACTAGAAAAGAAAAAAGAAACACTTTTTAGATTAGACATATGTAATTAGTGATTTTTAGTTATGGATGCGGGTGGCACAAGATCAGTCATCGTGGCGATCTTTGGGGGAGGCCTATGCCCAGCAGTGTGCGTCTCATGGCTGAGTAGATAGATAGTTATGTTTTATTGACTCCTTTTCCTTCTTAATATTGTATTCCTGTATTTAAATCCATTTCTTTTTTACTTTTATATAAAAATACCCACAGATCAAGAATAATGTTATGTTGAAATTGTGAAAGTTCTAAAAATTGTTAACATTTTATAATTAATATTTTATTGTAAAAGAAAGATAAGTAGTTAATGTAGATTTTATTAAATAAACGATAGCACTGATTTTGTTTTTTATATATGAAATATCCATTTTATATATCTGATAAAATGGAATCCACTATTCAATATTTTCTTAGCTCTAAATATTTTGTCATCTCTTTTCTTATTTTTGAAAAAAATAGAGACAACAATATGCTCTTTTATAAAAGGTTTTAACAATGAAAATTCACGATTTAAAGGATGGATCTTAAGGACAATTATTTTTTCAATGTTTTTAAGGTTAGGTCATTGAAACAACATTTTTAATGTATATCGTTTAATTGGTGTACATGGTTATGCATTAATATTTATCAATTGTTAATTCATTAAATTATGGCACTTAACACAATAAATTTGAAACAAATACACAATAATGATGAAATGACAATGTCTTCGTAACATAAATTTACTTTCGAAATAAACTTAATGATATATTCGGAATTACTTTTTCAGTCGTTCGTTGTGACGTTCGCAAGATAACGAAGGCCTTTTTTTTGCTTTTTTTTTCTAATAAAATAAAATTTGCAACTCAAAATCCAACATTTTGTTCCCGATCATAAATTATAAATAAGTTTCTTTACATACAGCATACAATAACTTAAATGTTTTGTACCAATAAAGGACAACTAACTCACCATCCGCGATTACGGTAAATTCTTAAAACGAGCGCGCAGGAATAAGTCACATTTATAAAAAAAAATATTAAATACAAATCTTTAAAAACTTACTACTAACAAACATCCCTAAGTAGTACATGCGCTAAGAGCAGCTCCACACGAACGCTAACGCTGACGTTATGTCACATATGAAAATCAAAGCCTTGTGAGGTGGATTTTATCGGCTGGCACTATACACTTCAAATACTCAAGGAACCACTAAAAATACAACCCTACTCGGCAGCGCCAAAGAGGGTAAAAAAAGTTAAGTGACAAAAACAGCAGAAAGTAAACGTTTATTTTATCTTGTTTGACAAAATTAATATTTTGTGTTTATTTTTTAAAATGAGAAATTATCAATTTATAGATCTTGATTTTAAAATGTACTTGTTTAGCAAGAGTTTACAAGGCCCAGAGCATTTTGCGTGTGCTTCGTTTTTAATTAGACCCTTGGTGACTTTTCATATAGACATCAGTTTTAACGTAAGCTTTAACGGCCATGTGAATAAACCCTAATCTCCCAAGCGATTAAGTTTCAAGCGACCGAAGCGGTTCGAATTGTATCCCCACTTCCAGGTTATATGTTATTAAAGCATGTTTATTTGACTAACACCTAATCGATTATCTGGGATATTTTTTTTAAATACCTACTATAACATTACCTGTGGAAGCATTCCCGATGCATGAATACGATACAATGGATACTCGGACTGATGCAACAAGCGCACACACACACCTAACATTATTCGTAACTGTATAACATACAAAAAGGCCACATCACATCATTCAGTCACAAAGCGCGATTTAATTACTAGACACGATATAATGAAATTTACAAACTCGATCATAATGTATGAATGACCTTCAACAGCCCTGTGGCGTCGACTCGCGCCGGACTTTCGCCTACAAACTTGCAGATCGTTTCCATTGCCGCAGACGGCACGACACCGCCTCGAGAAAGCCGCCTTGTCTAAACTATTAACTTCTCTTCTCTAAGAGTATTCTACGTTGTCGCCAATATTGTGACTCGACAGCACGACGAGACTACGAGAGGAACTGTTTCGTGCATTTCAAAAAAGGTTACGTTATAATTTTGACCTTAAGTTTTTCGAATAACAATTTATAAATTCTCATAGAATATGTATTTACAAAATTACTTTAATAATATTTATCATCGATACGAGTACACGAGTATAATAGAGATTATATTACGAGTATTTTTTTGTCTTGAATAATATCGTCTAGTGTCGTTCTTTGTTTTGAGCAATACAAATACATACCAAAAATATTATTTTCCCGAACTGCCTGAAGCAGTGATATGGTAAGATATCACAATATTTCGTGTACTTAGCGATGAGCTTTAGAAGGCGCTCTATAAGTCAATTAAAAGAATGAATAAATAAAAAAAAACAGTTACAATATGGATGTTCTATTCTGTGCTGGGCTAAGGATGTGTGATTCGGATGGGCGCATGCAGTTAGTGAGTACAGAGAGTCATGCACCAGCACCTAGACGCTTTACAATGTTCCGTCGTATGGTAGAGCTAGAGGAGTGACTGAGGGTAAAGGCCATGCAGTTAGACTTGTTTAGGCATTAAGCTACCCACATCCGACGGTCGTTTGGGGACTAAATCAAAGAATAGTTACCACAAACCGAATGAGGAGAGGTGAAGGGGAGAGGAGGCATGCCGTTAGTTACACAAGATACGTTAAAAGCTTGCGGCATCGGTTTTAAAGGCTGCGAGGAGCGATACGGTCTTCAAAGTCTTTAAAACTCTTTTAATAATAGCCCCTTTCGATATACACCAGTCTATGTTAAAAAATTTACCACTAAACGACTTATTTAGTGACCAAGATTATGACCATCGAAGCATACTACATAAAAGTTCTAATGTTGGTAATTTTGGTATGATATTATACACGTTTAGACACTGGTTAAACATCGACACGTACTAAAACTCTATCTTACAAACTTCGGTATAACCTACCTACGCTTCAATTCCCTTTAAATTTATCTAAAAAACAAATTAAGACGTCTTTCCCTCAGCGGCGATGATATATTTGTATAATATAAGTAAAAGAGATTTGTGTCCTTAAATTAAATAATTTATCTATACGTATCACGTCCAATTGCATAAAATATTTACCGTTAACGATTTTAACGACATCGTTCTCAGTAAATATTCCCACAATCTGTGTTTCCCTTATAACAATTTATATACAGTCCCAAGACAAAGAGTCATGCCTTAAAACGTAAGACTAGATTTTACTAAAGAAATAGATGTGAGATTATATTTCTGTGATCTCGTTCTGTTATCTAAGACTTCTATGAATCAAGTTCAAATATCGTTACACATAAAATACTGATAAGTTCCAATTAAAAAATAAAATACATACAAAATAATGTCAATTTCCCGAGCTCATTAGATTCGCCACGATACACAGAAGTCAAAAGATGAAAGCAGTAAATGTGAATGTACAACAATAAATTGGGTAACATTGAAATGAAAAGGAAAAAAAACATAGTAAAAGTGCGGAAAAACTAAAAACAGATTATTTACAACACCATTGACCAGCAGTTGTTCGTATCACATCAGTTGACAACCCTAAATGAAGTTCCGTTATATTGCACATCATTCTTCACAATCAAGTCACACGTCACCGCGCACTTCATAATGTTTTCCCAATTATTTCCCACTTACAGCGGAGTGCAGTCTACTGCGTGGGCGCGTCGGGGGAAAGGTGCAGAGGGCGCCACTGACGCTAGGGCTGCCGGTATCAGAAGTCGTCGGGCAGCACGGCGTCGCGCGGCACGAGACCCTTGTGCTCGCCGCGACAGCACAGCAGATACTGGTCGTCCACCTCCAGCACCAGCCGCAGCCTCTCGCCCTCCTTGAACGCCAGGTGGCCCGAGTCCGACGGCAGCCGGTGCCACAGCGTTCTCACGTACCTGCAAAACAAGATACATTACTAGTGCCCTTAGATTATTGCTATTGTTATAGCACGGACCAAAAGTAAATATTGAGAGCAAAAGTTTCGGCGTTTAAGGCAAAATAATATTTTTGCTGATAGTCGGTTTGAAAGTATGGAGCTATTAGTATGTACTTGTGTTTGACGGGCGCGGAGTGTGCGCGCGCGGCGGAGGAGGAGGCGGCGCGGCGCGGTGCGGCGGGGGGCGGGGCGCGCCCGTATGGCAGAGACGAGGGCCGCGGCGCCGCGCCCGCGCTCCATCCCGCGCTGTCCACTCGCGACGTCCTGTACAATGAAAACATGCTTAAATTGTTGAAATAATGTTCTGTAAGGGAGGCCGATATCTCTTCTTTACAGAAGTTTATGTTCCTCTCAATGTAAGGTCTTCTCTTTGGTCATGTAAATCAGAATCAGTAATAATTGCCTATACTTTTACAAAAGAAATTATTATTAAAGAAGGCATGAGCAGATTAACAGATTTCCACATACATTTAGCTCGAACCTAAGCGGAGAGCTGAATTTCATTAAGCCTTACCAATATCACTATTACAACGATGTTGTACGCTAAGCAAGTAAACATGCTGTTAAAACGTATGTAGTAAGAAAATAAACGGCACAAGTTAGTGGAGTTAGTTTTATCCCATCTAAATATACATACGGAAATTTCTTAGCATTGGACGTGTTTTTAGCAACAGCATCCTTGGTATGTAGTTTGTTTGTCGCCGGTTTGTTCCCAAGGGATCTTCTCGCCGGCTTCTCCTGTGGCGCTCTGGAGATATGTGCAGATATAAAAAGCAGTGACGTCACGATGGATTTTAGTATAAAAGGAAGTGACAAACAGTGCCCCAAATAAGTAAAAATATCTTAATTTTCGACAAACATTTTAACATTTGTTTTGTTTAATTACTAAAATCCATCGCTTTTAACAAAAAAATACTGGGTATAGTAATAATATAAGATTGCAACTAAAAATAATTTTCATATTCATCAAACTACTAAGATGATAGACAGCTGTAAAGAAAAAAGAAGTTGAAACAAATTTAAAAAGCTTAAATAAGAAGTGAATTCCACCACCTTGTGCAATACATTCATTCTTTCTCAGCTTCTTTATTCCTTTTATATTTTGTTTAAGTTCTTACCGATTAGCCGGCTGCGGCGGTTTCTTCGCATTGGGCGTTCCTCTGGGAATGGTGCGTTGGTTTGCTGTTGTAGGTGACGTACTCTTACGAACAGGTACTGGGATACCTCTGTAATCAATTTAGTGAATTTTGTCACTATAACATTCAATAAAATATAACCCTTTTACTACCTTCCACATTTCAAACTACTCGACCAAGTACTCGACCGGATTTTCAAACTGACTACTTGATCATGTGTTGGATTGATGTCCGTCAAATGTGTGTTATGGTTATTCGTGAAGTTGTAAATGGACAATAACAGGTAAGGAGAAAGGATTAAGTGACTCTTCTTCAGACTGGTATTCATATTGAAGAAAGTTGTAAGAGATATGTACAGACCTATTCAATATCAGCTTTTATTTTTAATTGTAATAAAATTTACCTTTGCGC